TAAATGAGCGAATAGTTAGATTATACTATGCCATAAGAGCTGTAAATTGGTCACGACTAGAAATGTCTTTTCTTCTGCACAAGCGGGTCGCCGTGTAGAAGAAAACGTTTCAAACCAAGCGGGTGAGGTCAGTGCATGGCGCATACCAGAACGGAATGGATCTGCGCTAAGCGTATCATTTCTATTTACTCCATTGAGGTGATCTATATATTAGAAGCGACTTGAGGTTTTTCAAGAGAAGCTTTTTGCATCGGCACTAAGTTTTCGGTTGGCTCAGTAGGGCCTCGCCGCAGATTTCTCGGAGTAGAAAACATGCAAAACAGCTGCAGCACCTGTCAGGGAAAGTGAATCTTCTTCGTTACCATTTTTCTCTTAGATTCTCGAATTGACAATAAAGGAACTTACAGATTTCCAAATAGTAAAATCTTTTCTTAAATTTCATAACTCCACAGATCCTCGACGGCTCCAATTCTGGAAGTAAGACGTTTTTGGGGAATGTTCAGAGCAAATCAGAAACTACTACTATCGTGCATTCAGAATCTGTCCTCATTTTCTGAAGTGAGCGCCACTGAAGAACGTGCGCTCCAATCAAAAGGCACGCTCGAAATGACCATGGCCATTGAACGCGGGAACGGTCAACAAGATCGATAGCTCGCCGTGCTGGTGGGACTTAGCCACGACGCCGCGATAGCGTTGGACGAGTACTCGCCTACGCTGTACGAATAGATTTAGGATCCTGCTACTCCATCCATATAGAGAATCTTCCGAGGGATGTTATCGAGACCCGTGCCTTTAACAGTACCGTTTTCAAAACGACCATTTTCTCACCAGTACTTGCACTTTCATGCGCAAGAATCACAATATGAAAGTGCAGGCTCTCCTGGAAACTTGAAAGCCTACTCGCCTACAGAAATACAGAAACTTGCTTTTCGCTGAGCTACCGAATGAGCTGAGAACAGTGGCTCTTTTAGGTCCAGAATGTGATCCCATTCCTAGAAAAATCGTTCCTTGTGTTTGTATTCATAGAAATCAAAGCAACGAAGAAATGCGGTTCGGGAGCGAAAAACCGACCTCAGTAAGCAGTTTCGGCTTATACACCGCAAGTCCTCCAAAGTCGACAAGTTTGTGAAGCGTGGGTTTTTCGAATTCCATCAGGGGTTCAGTAGAATTAACCAGCACCCAGGACATATTTGACACCGTATCTTATAAGAGTTTGAGTTTTCCTACAGGTTGTGGTCAATCAACACTGGAATTTTCCTTTTGGTACCGTGGTTTGCGCCTCCATCTATCGCGCGTAGTCCGCAAGTCAAATTTCTGAGTATGTTGCAGGCAAACCAACCCTGCCATTTCTCCAGGGTCGATTGAGGGTGACTTCATATGGGGAATGAAAACCCTGATTTCTACGTGGGGTGGCCTCGCCATTCTATGAGTTCAGATCGCATCCAAATACCAGGACGTCGAATGGAAGTGTTTAGCACAAATTCTCCCAATTAGAAGTCATAACGTACCTACAGTCATAAATAAACGATTCAATTCGCAATAGCTAAGAAAAAACCGGGGACGGTAAAAAGCTTCCACAAGTCAATACCCGGACTAGTAAATAATTATGGCATTGAGTACTTCGCATTTTTCATAAACTTCAGCTCATGAGAACATCTAAGTCGGCATAAGCGAAAATGTTCTTGAACAAAGTCCAAATCGTTAGAAATCGATTGAATGAAGCCATCAAGTACAACCCACCCAACTGGGGTGGCATTTGGTCCAAGTTTCGCTCTCACCACTTTATCTGCAACGCTATCGGAGGTTGCCTGGTTTTATTATGAGAGGTATGTGAACAAGAGGTCCACACACGTGTCCATAAATCGGTCGAATCGTTCGTGACGCCGAAGAGAGCTAGAAAAGCTTACAATGAGAATAGACATGGAACAATAATTTCAGAAGGGAAATCGAACGCTAATGATAATCGATCACCATAGGTTTTTGACTTGTTTTTGTTTGTTAACTGCTGTTTTTGGCCGCAGTTCGCCTTGCGAATGTTTCACAAG